TCAAGAAGCAGAAATCTACGGATTTGATCAACAAACTCGGTCTGTTTGTTGACGAAATGGGACTCCTCAGATGTAAAGGACGAATGGAAAATGCTATTGATAGTCAATCGAAATGCCCTATCTTACTTCCTGGCAAAGATCAATTGGCGGAACTAATTATCATGAACTACCACAAAATGTTACTTCATTCCGGAACAAACCACACACTTAACGAATCACGGAAAAGATTCTGGATCACTCGTGGACGAGAAACGGTAAAGACAGTACTAAAGAAATGTTTGACATGTAAGCGGCACGAGGGTGGCCCGTTTCGAATGCCTAAACTCGCTCCTTTGCCCAAGGAAAGATTAATGGAGTCGCTACCGTTTGAGTTCACGGGTGTAGATTACTTTGGACCGTTGAATTACAAATCTAACGAAGGCACGATGAAATGCTGGGTGGTACGGTTCACATGTTTTACAACACGAGCAGTTCATTTAGAACTAGTAACGGAGATGTCAACTGATGCATTCTTAATGTCCTTCAGAAGATTCATAGCACGGAGAGGAGTACCTGTGAAGATTGTCTCTGACAATGCCCAGCAATTCAAATTGGCAGACCAAACACTGAATAAGCTCTGGGACTCTGTGCAGACGGATCAGAATGTTCAAAACTATCTCTCGAGTAATGGAATTGAATGGAAATTCATCACACAACTTTCTCCGTGGATGGGCGGTTTGTACGAACGAATGGTGCAGGTCACCAAACGATGCTTACGGAAATGTATTGGTCGCAAATTGCTTTCACTCATGGACCTCATTACTCTACTAGCTGAAGTAGAAGGAGTCATTAATTCTCGACCTCTGACGTATGCTAGCGAGGAACTGAATGGTCTTGTAATCACCCCTGCTAGACTTCTAAACGTGAATGCCTGTCTCGGGATACCGCAAACCACCATCGATGTCACTGACCCCGATTTTGCAATATCGGTCAGCTCAGCAGAGTTTATGCTGCAGAAACTCGGTCAGCAAACAAATCAATTGGACATGTTTTGGAAACAATGGCGGGAAGAATACCTGACGTCGCTACGTGAGCGTGGAGACTCTGGTCTCAAACAGCAACGTACACTATCAAAGGAATCCCCATCCGTTGGCAGTATAGTACTGATAAAGGAACAGCTGCAACCAAGAAGTACTTGGCCACTCGGCAAGATCACGGAATTACACTTTAATCAGGATAAACAACCTACCTCAGCTACTGTTAGATTAACAGCTGGAAAGAGCATTGTCCGCCCGCTGTGTCTGTTGTTCCCAATTGAGTGTACAACACTAGAAACACCGGCAGAGCAGCCAGCAGAGCCAACGGCAGCATCGAATACATCAGTACCAGCCAGTGATCGACCGGTAAGGGCAGCGGCTGTGAGATCACGGCAAACCCTGCAGACCATGATCAACACTAATTCAGTCTGATACAAATAACTGTTTCCACTCAATTTTTCTCTTTCAACACTTCATTTCACAGTTGTAATTGTTCACTCACGCGTATGCTATTTCATAACTATGGTAGTAACTTTCAGCGGGCGGGAGTGTCGCGAATGCGATCGGATTTATTCGTAGTCACGAGCACAATGCATGTATATAACCAAGAATTCACAGCTACGTAGGTCTACGTATAGATGTATCCTTGTTCAGTGCATGATCTGTACGTTCAATCACTCGCATCCCTTTGTGACACCCTTTTTCTCACCTTGCACTCGTTTGTATATCTAAGGTTCAATTCTGGGCACCCTTTTTCTCACCTTGCACTTCGTTGCATTTCTAATGTTTCCGTTCCGGGCACCCTTTGATTCAGTTTGAACCCATGCACCTTGGCTTGCACACGCACCGACATCCAACACGGACTGTGTGTACGACTATCGGCATCTTTGATGGCCTTCACTATCCATTTTCATGCTCACAGTTGGACTCGTTGCACCGTGCGTATCTTTATGTGTCACCTTTTCAGCTACATGCACGTGGAGCTGTTTTAGTTCCACAACTTGGTGCTCTTCTTGCTTCTCTTTGATTCTTCGCTACTCCTTGGGAGCTTATTTCGATGCGTTTGTATATTTATCGCTTGTATATTTCTGCTGACGCTGTACGCAAGACACTTTCACGGCACACTACTGCTACAGGCATACACTCCGACTCACCTATATTATCGCTCTCCCCTTGTAAATATTCTTCAGTCTTGATTCACAAGAAAATTGGGCACTAAGGAAAATATGGTCTGCTTCGAGTGGTTTATGTAAAGGGTATGTACATGGTTCGCGACACGCCACGCCAAAGATATGCACAGAGACTACAGCTCCATCACCAACTAACAGTACTAATTGAGCTCCGTCGACAGTGAGCCCTCTTGATAATACCTCGTCTCTGACAGATGTGGAGGAGAACAAAACTCTACAAACTCTGCGCCTTCCGCTCAGGTCAATTTGTTTTATTCCCGTAGCTATGCAGAAGACGTTACTTCAGTAAGTCCAAGGGGTGGTCGTTAGTTACAGGTTTTACTGTATATGCAAAGTGTATCGGGGGAATACATTCAGTGCAGTAACATTTTGTGTGGATTTGTGTGCGAGGCCGAGATCCTACTAGCAGGCTGGCTGGGCCGCCTGTCGACCAGCCCGGGAATCGCATGTAGGCCGTTAGCATAATAATTATAACCTATATAGATGTATAGCAGGGAGTCGTATTATGTAAACGACTCCGTGCTGTATAGGGAGATTTTCTGGAAAGAAATACGAAGTAGGGAGATGAGGAAATGCAATTAGAATGGACGTTAGTTGCCGAATAGGTGACAGGATGCGTCAGCAAAAACAACCTTTGGAAGAGAGATCCCGTCTTCTCCAAAATAATTCTGAACGGGCGGGTCAGCGCCAGTCACAGGAAACGTCGGAAAAGAGATCCCGTCGACTCCAGAACGTCCGTGATCGGCAGAGTCAGCGCCGGTAACAGGAAACGTCGGAAGAGAGATCCCGTCGATTCCAGAACATTCGTGATCGGCAGAGTCAGCGCCGGTCACAGGAAACGGCAGGACAGACATCGCGTCGACTCCAGAACGCCCGTGATCGGCAGAGTCAGCGCCGGTCACTAGGGGTGTGCAGATAATGCTCGAAAAGGTGGCAGATTCTGCTCGAAAAGCAGTGAAATTGGCAGAACCATACAAACCTATGGCGGGCAATTCCTCGAATTCTGCTCTATTTCTTTATCCACATACCAAACATGCATGAAACTTACCAAAAAAGTACCGAATTTGCCAATTTTTCTGCCGGCATTATCCGCATATGCCTACCGTTCACAGGAAACGTCAGGACAGAAATCCCGTCGACTCCAGAACGCCCGTGATCGGCAGAAACGAGACAGGTCAGGGATAGCGCCAGGCATGCCGATGGCACAAACAAACAAAAAAATGTTGTGGCCAGCTGTCTTTGATGGTACGGTACGGGACAAATACGGGATAGCGCGGGGCGTGACACAAAAAAATTGAAAATAAACAAAAAATATTAACCCCGAAGTAATGCAACAGACGTTACTTCAGTATCGTTTGGCGCTAGCCAGGGTTCACACGGCTTTGGCAGGTCACATGCATGATGAGCAAGCAAAAAAGCATAGCGTAGGGCCCTGAGCTTCCAAGCTCTCTCGTTTCATTCCCGTAGCTATGCAGAAGACGTTACTTCAGTAACGTCTGGCGCTAGCCAGGGTCCACACAGCTTTAATTTGGTATTTGTTTGTGTCTTTGTTTGTTTGTTTGTTTGTCTGTGTCACGCCTGGCGCTATCCCGTATCTGACGGCAAAAAATCATAGGGATGTTATAAATTTTTCAATTCTCCTATTTTTCAGGCATATCCTGGGATTCGAACCCGCACTATCGCCCTACATCCATTCCCCCATACACTTCGCATTCATACCCATTCTTCCAAGTTGCTTCACGTTATGATCTTGCGTTTGAAAGCCCTATTTGAATATTGCGGGCAGCTGTATGTGGCCAGCTGTGTTTGATGGTACGGTACGGGAGACGGTGTCGTATTACCCTCGATCGTACCTGTCCCGTACCTATCCCTACCGTACCGTACCATCAAAGACGGCTGGCCACAATGCATATTCAAAATTAATAGGGCTTTCAAATGCAAGATCATAACGTGAAGCAACTTGGAAGAATGGGTATGAATGCGAAGTGTATGGGGGAATTCATGTAGGGCGCGATAGTGCGGGTTCGAATTCCAGGTTATGTCTTTAAAAAAAAGGATTTTTTTAAAGACCGGGGGATGCATGCAGGGCGCGATAGTGCGGGTTCGAATCCCAGGTTATGTCTTGAAAAAAAGGAATTTTTAAAGAATTTATAACATCCCTATGCTTTTTTTGTCTAGGTCATCAAAGCAAAAAAAGGATAGCGTAGGGCCCTGAGCTTCCAAGCTCTCTCGTCTGGTTTGACACCAGAGGAAAGCAACAGTCTAATAAAAAAGGCATGGTCCTTCGAGGGAAGGTTGCCACTCAGCTGTATGGAACATACTCGAGACATTTCTAACAGGTACACATACACACAGGATTGAATGATTCCGGAGCACCAAAAACTGCATCCACTCGCACACTCACAGACTGATTGTTTGAGGATTTCGCTCCTGCTCTTCTAGCAGTTGCGCACTCTTGTGTGGGGCAGCACTTTTGGCGTTTGTGTTATGCAGAGCTCACTGACTTGTCAGTTTAAGCACTATGACAGGGTACGTATGGCCTGGTTTAATTAAAATAGGATTTTGGAATTTTTTCATTGTCATCATGTTTGGCCTTATTTCCTCTGTGCTGCGCTCATGAGTCCACAAAAGACGAAACAGGTCTGTCCGCAGATTGAGTATTTATCTAGGGTATTGTGTTGTTGAGGAATACAAGAAACTTCCAGGAGATGTGACGAGGCAAAGTAAAAATATTTCAAAAATCCTACCCTGGGGACCCTTTGGACCCAACAACCCGGAATGAGGGTTAACTTACAGTTCCGCAAGCTTTGGTAGGTTTGCAAATACGTTTGTAGGAAGGCTTGCAAGTTGATTATGGTTCAGGCGTCTACAAAAGGAGAGGAGAAAAGGGGACTAAAAATATTTGCGAATATTTGGGTTCAGTGATGGCCGCTTACAAACCAGGCGGTAAACCGTAATAGGAGGAGTAGAACACAAGTCAAGGATCTAAAAACAATTGCATGAAAGCAAGAATGTGATAAGTAAATTGAAACCATACTCAAACACAGCAAAATTCAATGAAGCGAGCACTGTCATAGAATAAGTATGCCATACACTCTCAATAGTATGACAGAAAAGAAACATGCTAAGAGAAATGACATAATGTACTTGTACCTAACAATATCACACTCCAGCACACCACAGGACGACGGGTCATTTGTTGGTGAGCCTGAGGCGGTGGCTGGTCTGGGTGAGGAAGAGGGTGGATGGTTGGTCGCGCGAGTTGCGGAAGCTGTCTTGGTTTGCCAAGACGGAACCACATGCTGCCTATGCAGCACTAACCTATGGTTTACGGTGTAGGTGGGTGTACCTTTTCCGCACTGTGCCCCTCCCGGATGAGTGCGTCAAGAGCTTAGACAATATCATCGCTTTCAAGTTTCTCCCAGCACTGACGGGTCGTGGTGCCTTCACCGAAAAGGACTTACGCATGCTGAGACTGCCCACCTGGTTTGGTGGTCTGGAAATCCCGTCGTTCCAGAGGATGAGTCAGACGGAACTTGACGCGTCAGTGAAAATCACAGAGGCTCAGGTTGCTGAACTAGTCAACCAGAACAACACATCCTGGGAAAGACGCCAGACTGAATGCATAAGGGAGGCTGCTTTTAACGCAAAAAGATGCACCGGCAAGCAGCGAGCTGCATCAAGTGAAAATGACTTCAAGCTCGTGGAGCAGGCTGCATCGCTTGATGGGGCTCGTCTATGATTCCTCATCAGGGTATATTGTTCAGTGTGATCTGGAATATCAACACCAACTTCTTGAGGAGCACAACGATTATCCAGTTGCTCCGGAACGTCTTTCCGTCAATGAGGATGTGCTATCTCCATACCAGCAGGAGCTTCTTGATAAACAAGGCATTGCAATTTTGACCTTTCCACGGCAATTTTGTGATGATACGCGTTCCAGATTCAAGTTGTGCAGAAGCTATATCTGGGCTAGGTTCAAGAACGCTTGTCATGACTCGCTTGAGTACTTTGGGTATGTAGCCGTTAGAACACAGAATATCCTCTAGCTTAGCAATTTCAGCTGATAATTGTGATGGTGATCAGATGTTTTCACCTCTGAAGGTTAAAATGTTCTGATCAAATTAATGTCACAAAACGAGTTCCAGCGAGTGTAAAGACCTGAGAACGTCGGCTTTCTATATACAGTGGTGAGCAATTCTGTGGAAGAATGCTTAATCAATAGATCAAGAAACGGCAATTCTCCATTATTCTCCTCCTCCATTGTAAACTCAAGAGCTGGTTGAATATTATTTGAACGCTCAGGGAATTCCAATGCCAGTTTCCGGTTGTGAAGTGCTGCGAATGTGTCATCCTCATAACGCCTATAAAATTGGAGCCAATGCCTATCTGGAATTGTGTTCTCAAAATATCCAACAAAGATATTGGCTAGCACGGGGCCCAATGGTGAACCCATGGCGACTCCGTCCCTCTGTGCGTACATATTATCATTAAAACTGAACTGCACGTCTGATGTGGCTTTGGAAAGCAGCTTCTTGATAAGATCTTGGGGTATTTGCGGGGCTGATATTTCATCATCATGGTATAGCGAATGTATGCAGATATCTTTTGTTTCCTTGAGAGGCACGTTTGTAAAGAGGCTGACTACATCGAAAGAGCACAGGAACAGCGATCCAGAGTTCCCTGCCTACTGCTGACCAAATTCCCTTACATTATTCACGAACTCGCATTGTTAGTCTACCACATACATATACACACAAAAATTGTCGTATTTGTTCATTCATGCATTTACTCCTCCTGTAGCCCCCTTCTTCACCAATTATTCACCCGAACGGCCCCAGGGACTGTTCCGGAGGATCAGCGCACCACACGGGGACAAGTGTCGAACTTGCTTCAAGTTCCCTTTCTTCGTGGGCCTGCGGGACGATCGACCATGATGTTTCGGGGAAGCATTCTCTGGAACGCTCTCCCCTCTGATTTTAGAGTGATAGGTGTCCCTGGTCCCTTCCAAAAAGCTCTTTCTGCCATTGATATACTTACCTTGTGAATATCCTCGTTATACCTTTATTATCTGCCATAAATTCCAACACTTTTTTTAGTGTAAGTTCGTTCAATGTTCGTGGTCTATCGTCCAACACGAAAAAGCAACTGCTGGCCGAGGACCTGCGTTGCTATAAAATTCAAATTTGTTCTCTGCAAGAAACGAAAATTCAAGACGGCTACGACGGAGTTCACGGCGACTACAGGATTGTGTGCCTCTCCTCGACTTGCCGACATTATGGAAACGGCTTTGCTATACACCACTCGCTCCTCGATAGAGTGTATCGAATCTGGAGCGAGTCGGATAGAGTTGCCGTTCTGCAAATTCGACTGTCAAAAAATAAACTATTGTCGCTCGTCAGCGTGTACGCGCCGACGTTGACTAGAGTTGCGCAGGACCAAGACTGCCTAGACGACTTCTACTCCTCACTCAACGCTGCAGTTGCCAAGGTAAAATCTTCATCTATCGTCCTCGTACTCGGTGACTTCAATGCCAAGCTCGGAACACAAAATAAATCACTCCATCAATGCATTGGGCGATACGGAAGAGGACGACAGAATTACTCTGGCGAGGTCCTTGCTGACTATTGTGACTCAGCTTCCCTATTCGCCTGCAGCACAGCTTTTCAGCACCCAGCACGGCACTGCACAACATGGACAGGATGGAGAAATAATAAAAAGAATAATTCAAGTGGCGGAGCCCCCATTCCCATCTATAATCAAATAGACTATATCTTGTGTTCCACTCGTCAGCGCCAGCTCTTCACAGATGCCAGATCTTACGCTGGAACCCTGCTGGACTCGGACCACCGATTGCTTGTGGCACGAATGAAGCTGGACCGGTTGCGTGGTGTGTGGGGCCCAATAGAGCACGCTAAGAAACAGCGAGTAGGCATGAAAATTGCTGTGGATAGGCTGTCCGATCCACGCATACGGAAGGAATATCAGTCCGCTCTGGAAAATGATATTACCCAACACTGCAGCTGCAAGCCAGAAACAAAGCTAGCCCCTCAGGAGCTATGGGATCAGGTACATACGACTGTGATGGAAGTGGCCAGCGCTACCCTGGGAGCATCAACAAGACCGCCAAAAGGAAAATGGATACCTGACCCACAGCTGACGGCTATGGTTCAAGAAAAGCGGAAAATCCGGCTTCAACTGATGAATACCCCTGATGCAGCAGTAGCAGCACGTCTGAAACTCCACAAAAACCAGCTATCTCATCAAGTTCGCAGGCAAGCCAGAGACAATGCAAGCAGATTATTGGACGGTAAGGTGGCGGAAATTGAGAACCAGAAAGATGACGCGCGCATGTTCAAAGCTGTGCACCTGCTCCAACGAAAGAAACAACAACCCATCACGATAAATGATGCCAAAGGACGACGGCTTTTGAACCCTCAAGACATAGTTGGCGGAATCACGAGTCATTTCCAAGAAATGTTCACTCAGCCTAACACTACCATCCAAACAAAAAATACAGAAAAATTTGCAAAAGAAATCACACAGCAGGAAATCACATCAGCAGCAAGGCGCCTTAACAACGGCCGTGCGACCGGGCCAGACAACATGGCAGGCGAACTTATCAAGTACGGGCCTGCCCCTCTTCACCATGCTCTAGCTCGGATATACAATGCCGCTATTTCCAACAATGAGCCACTCTGTATTGGCGACGGGACTCTTATCCCGCTACAAAAACCTGGCAAGGCCAGGGGGCCCCCATCAAACCTGCGACCAATAGTACTGTTGACGGTGTTGCGCAAGGTGTTGTCACTTGTGGCATTGTCCCGCGTAAGCAGAAAAATACATAAATACTTATCTCCCACCCAGAGCGGTTTCAGGCCTAACAGAAGCACCTCGGACGTAATATGGTCTTACCGTTGGGCTATAGCCCGATGCCAACGCCTACAACAGAAGTATGACATTATCGGTATCGACATGTCGAAAGCATTCGATACCATCTCGCGTCCGAAACTGATCAATGTTCTTGCGTCATTCCTTGACAACGACGACGTTACACTGATTTCATATCTTCTGGAAACTCGCCTGGAAGAACATAATGGTGAGGCGAGACGCCAGGAACTCGACAAGCCATGGGGCCAACATTTTCGCACCACTCACCCTGGATGTAAGCTTAACTATGGGCAAAGTGCATTCTCTGCAGTTGAAGTAATAGGAAGAGAGCCTGATCGAGCCCGTCGAAAACTGCGCGAGGCAATTGAGATTCGTGATGCCAAGCCCCATGTGAACATAAGCACCGGATGGGATTTGTTGTGAATTTTCTCAGCTTCCCCTGCTGCTACTTCAATATCACTGAATAATTATAATATGAGGCGGGTCACTCAAAACCATTCTATTCCTGATGCCTCGTCGCGTCCCTGGTGGTAACAGTTTGGCATGGAAGTTTTAACCTCATAGTGCATTGACTCATGGGGCTCCGTGCTCCCCTCCTAGATCCTGTGCTAGAATTAACACCATAATTATTTGGCATGTACCCTCACTTCGTAGAGCACAACGGCGCGCTCTTCTTCTCCGTGATGTGCACAGTTGCACCTTCTCTCTCCCCCCCCCCTCTGTATAGAGGTGACATAACTCGCATCATTTTATTTTTTGGCGCTACACTCTGTGCAACGCCATTCACAGAGCACAATGCGCGCTACCTTTTGCTGCTTCTCCTCCGTGATGTGCTAGTTGCGCCTTTTTCTCTCTCTCTGTCATACTAGGTGACATAATTCGCATCTTTTTTGGCGCTACACGCTGCGTATATACTGCTCTTGTGTGGCTTCCACGGTATTCATTGTTATTACCTGATGATGGCCAAGTGCCGAAACGTTGTAAAATAACGGAACTGGTTCGGATGTGATATGCAGCGCTATGGGAATGGGTGTGTCCACCCGTATTCTTTTCACAGATGAAGCTGCAGGAAGCCTCAGCCCTTCTTCATATCTTCTGCAGCACAAAACCTTGCAGGTTCGATTGCCGGGAACGGATGGCATTAAGTTCAAAACCGACAGAGGCACCCCACAGGGGGACTCATTATCTCCTGTGCTATTCATCGTGTATCTAGAAGCGGCCCTGCGGGACGTGCGAAATATCTTACCGATCCGGCCACAACTCGACATCGACCTGCACCTCCCAACTGACACATCATATGCTGATGATGTTGACTTTCTGTCATCTAGGGGAGCTGACCTCCAATCATGCCTCCCTGTTATTGGGGACACCTTAAAGCAATGGGATTTGACAGTTAACTCCGCCAAGACAGAATTCACCCATATCGAGAGGTTCAGCGACTGCATTGCAGAAGAATGGAGGCTGACCCGGAAGCTGGGATCGCTACTGGGTGACAGGGAAGATGTATCTCGGCGTATGCAGCTGGCCACAGGTGCGTTTCAACGGCTTTGGGCACTGTGGGTGAGAGGCTCGCAGGTGAGAGAGAACAGACGTGTCAAGCTATACAATGCATTTATCACACCAATACTTCTGTACAATTGCTCAACATGGGGAGTCCCAAGCAATGTCATCAAGCGATTGGAAGCATTCCACAGACGTCAATTGAGAACAGTCGTCGGGATCAAGTACCCTCAAGTCATCAAAAATAGCGAGCTGTATAAACGCACCAACTCCCAGCCCCTTGGGGAAACCGTTGTGAGAGCGAGGTGGCGGCTCTTTGGCCATGTCCTGAGACTAAACGACGATGTACCAGCACGCGTTATGATGGCAGCATACTTCGAAAACCCAAGTTCCGCTGCCACCTGGCGGGGCCGGCCACGTACCACTCTGCCACTGAGTCTGCACCAGGACCTGCAGCGTATCGGGGGGTCGCTCAAGAAACGCGAGGAACTTGAGAACCTCCATGCCATCTCCCAGTCACGACAAGACTGGAAAGACCTATGCAGCAATGTGATAAAAGCATACATCAAAGCCTAATACTGCTTCCACCTGTGGCAGCTGCATGGCCGTACGGTGTACCATAACATAACTCATTGACTAACATATTTTGTGAAAATATTATCCTGTAAAAGAATAGGAATGTAAACAATATACCTGTGAAAACACAACCTTGAATGCTACTAACACAACCTGTGACTACAATAATCATGAGATCAACCCCAAAACATTTCTTGCAGTTTACTTTCGTAGAGTTTGCAACTTTGTGTTCCTCAACACAACTTGCAGCTTTCTTCAAACATATCCTCAACCTTGGTTCTGTCCTAGATCGTGTATACATACATTCATTGTTTCGTCTCATCATTATGGAGCAGCTTATGCGAAGGCTAGCCAAGCTTGCTTGGCGATGCCAACGCGGAAAAGCCTATAATAATAATAATAATAATAATAATAATTTTGGAAAGGATGGGAGAACTTCAAGTTCAAAGGATCAGTCGGGGAAGTGAAATAATAATAATAATAATAATATAATAAATTCCAACCTTCTCATCTATCAATCATTTGTGCATGCATGTCTAAAAAATAAACCACGTATTCCTGACTCCATGAAATTGTCTTTCTATTCTTTGACTCCATGAAATTATTGCCTTTCTATTTCTGACTCCGTGAAATTGTCTTCATATGATTTTTTTCTTTTTCTTCTTTTGGTCCTTTCCGTCTTATATTATTATCATTTCATGTTTTCCCTTGCATATCATCCCTTCATCATTCTGTGGGAACCTGTCCTATGGACAGGTGCGAAGGCATCTCTGCGTTCATTTGGTAAAGTAAAATAAACAACAACAACACCAACACTCCCACCTTTTGCATCGCATCAAATGGCCAACATTATTTTCACGCTTTAAAGTTAAACATATACTCTTCACGCATTCTCTTCGCCATAATTATGCCCCACCACATATACTCTCGCTGCATACTGCTAGCAACGTTTGTATAATTTACGTCGCTCTCGTACTTGGCACTTGCCAACTCCGCGGACTGACCGCTGTCTCCATTCTCCCCTGTACAAGGCCCTTCATTACTTTAATTGCTTGCCCGCCCAGCTTCGCGAAATCCCTTCTCGTACTCCCTTCAAATCCGAGATATCCCTGCTGTTGCACAACTCTGTATGCTCGTGTAGCGACCACCCCTGCCCGTACACTTAAGTACACAACTCTGTATGCTCGTGTGGCGACCACCCCTGCCCGTACACTTAAAAGTAGTCATTAACCCCTACGCCCTGCCCACCCAATTCTTCCTCACTCTTTCTCCTTTCTTACACTATTATCTCTTATTGGCCAGTGGCTATCGTGAGAATAAAGATTTGAACAACGTACAAGGCCCTTCATTACTTTAATTGCTTGCCCGCCCGGCTTCGCGAAATCCCTTCTCGTACTCCCTTCAAATCCGAGATATCCCTGCTGTTGCGCAACTCTGTATGCTTGTGTAGTGACCACCCCTGCCCGTACACTTAAGTACACAACTCTGCATGCTCGTGTAGCGACCACCCCTGCCCGTACACTTAAGTAGTCATTAACCCCTCACGGCTGTTTTTTGTACGATTTCACGCCACTTAACAATATGGCCGCCGAAAGTCTCGATTGGGCTTCAACGGCAAGAAAATTTGAATTTTCAAATCGTCAGAACACGAGTAGGCCATGGTTTCCCCTGGATTTTGGAGACTATTCAGCCCGGACAGCCCGGGGACCACGCTGATCATCTGCGTCTTGTTTCAAGCTTTCCGCTCGTACCTCACATGACTGCCTTTTCTTCAAGAAACATTTGTTCTGTGTCGTGCGACTTTGGCTTCGTTCTGGAATACTCCTTGTGTCATCGCTGACAAACTCGGCTCCGAGAAGCCCTTCCCGATTTTTTCCCAGCTTAGATCGATAGTTTCCCAGGTAGACGACTATACTCTGGATGTCTTTCCCAAGTGTCATTAGATTATGCGGGTGAACTTCTAAATACGCGCGACGAGTCCGGAGCCGGTTTTCTCTTGATTTGGAAGACAAATGGTGTGACCCTTTAGTTGCTGTTGAGTGTAGAAGGCTGCTTCCTGCTGTAAATTGCTTAGTCGGCATGTGGGATATTGTAAAAGAAGACATCAGCCGGCCAAGTGAGCTTGAAATTGTGATATCTACCCTATTGTGCGTTGAACGATTACGAAATGTCTAACTTGAATGTTGTACACGCGAGCACGCCAAGCAGAGGCTGACAATCACTGGCGAGATCAACCTCCAGACTGCCAGGATTAGTTCGAGCAAGTTTGAAGCGGAAAGACAGCTAACTTGGCCCTCTTTCTCTCTCAAATTGCAGCAAAGTCGAGTATCTCGCTCAAGCGCGTTCAAACCTTTTCTCTTGGTTTCGCGTCCCAAATCGTGGAACCACGGGAGGATCGATATGAGTTTCTTCCAACAACGCAAAATCATTGCGTATTTGTACTATTAGCACAATGTTACACAAATCGCACCGAACGACGCAATATTTATAAGTGCCTGCACGTGAACAGCCGTGCCCTAGGCCCTGCCCACCCAATTCTTCCTCACTCTTTCTCCTTTCTTACACTATTATCTCATATTGGCCACTGGCTATCGTGAGAATAAAGATTTGAAACAACAACTCGAAGGTATCCCTGGTTGTGCAGGCAGAATATTTGTTCAGGACTGGCTTTAGCAATTCGGCTAGCCACTTGGCCATTTCGTGTTGGGTAGCATTGATCATCGACAGGGTAGGTCTAACGGGCAAGTCTTTCTTATGTACTTTCGGCACGCCGTAGAGGACAGGTCGGCACGAGCCAAGGGGTCGGATCCGGGTCGTAATCTATATTGAGTATTTTCCAGCCTTCTTGTATCGCAATAGGTATGCCTGCAAGGCGCGTTCATCAAGGGAAGTGCGGTCATGCGTTTCGGTTGGTCCCAGGTGTTGAAACTTCGATGCATCGGCCAGAATAGCATTCATCTTGTCATTGTAATCACTTTGCTGCATTATCACCACTCCAAGTTGAGTAGATGGGCGTGTTTTAATTCGTTTGAGCCCTTCTTATAGCGCACCTCCCTGCTGATTGCATCGTCAAACTTACTTTTGATCCGGCGTTGTAATCTTGAGGAGCTTGGTGAACCTCAAGCGGTCCAGCACGCTGATGCTCAGATTGACTTCGTGAAGAACACGGCGGTATTTGAGGAGAAAGTGTTCCAAGTCAGCGGTGGTCCTCTCCAGTTCGTCCTAGATAAAGGCGCGTTCGATTCTCCATGGCTTCTTGGCTTAAACTCTCTGCACCCGCTTCTTGGTGGAGCGGGGCGCAACGCAGCACGTAAGGCAGTTCTGTAGAAAGTCTGCATTCTCACGACCACGGACGGTCTGGCCTATGCACTTTAAAACATAATTCAGGTCTTGAATTAGCCGGTGGTTCAGTCGCCGGTTTAGAGAGGAAGGCGAACAAAATTTATATACACACAACAAGAATTTAAACAGTCGACGAGGAGACAATAGTCGTAAGTAGTTAGCTATGTGAGGTTTTTGTCTCATGTCAGGTACATGAAAATGGGGTACTAATAGTACCCCATTTTTGCGTTGAAAATTATTTTTGGCCCGGTTTTTTTGCGGATTAAAAAAATGTTGGTTTGGGTCTTAGGACCCCATTTTTTTTTTTTTTTTTTTTTTTTTGTGAAAATTATTTTTGGCCCCTTTTTTTTGCGTATAAAAATAATGTTGCGACTGTTATTTTGTACTCCTTTTTTTTCATGTCATTACAAAGAATAATGGAACGAACAGTGAATATCGCAATGGAGTGGAGGAGAAAGGTAGTACAATTCAGTTCTTGTTGTCCTGATTTCATCAAGCTGGTATTGGATGAGAGACCACAAAGTTTACTCTTCGAATACGTGTGAGGATGGATTCACCCATGATCTCTTCCGTGACACGCAGTACGAGGTGGAGTTGTCGGACGCTCTGATGTGCACCAATGGTTCCACCCAGTCAGCAATGGAACTGTCAGTCGACGACCTCCTTTGCACCGCCATCGTGTCAACAGTCGACTCGGGTAATTTGGAGATGAATCCATCGTCGCCGATGTCGATCGTACCAACTCGCACACGAATCCGCGTTACTCTTGTTGCAACGGCACGGAGTTGAACGGCCTTGGTACTACGTCGTACACGCACACGATCAACTCGAGAGACTTCATTCTCGTTCACCTCCTTGACAAGTTGCATTACGTCGCTGGAATCCAAATAGGTTGCATCAGCGAAGAGGTCGATGATGTGTTGAGAGCACGGTTCGTCACGCATGTCACTAAGCTTGTAGAATGAGTGTCTACCATCAGTCCACCTTCGCAGTATGACACCATCATCAGTCTCACTAATAGTTCCGTAGTCCTCCACACCACCGATGACGATTTTAGGAAGGTGCTGTTTCCTATTCTTCACATTCAAGATCAGACTGGTGACCCTGCAGATAATATACTCAGCAGCAGTGAGTGGTGACATATCGAATCTTCTGGGATGTGCTATCATCGGGTCAAGATCCCTGGTTGTCTTGCTAGCACTGAGGCGACGGATTGAGAACTCTTCATTATCGCATGAAAATAAATACCATTTCTCTGCTCTGCACGTCTCAGAAAATGTCCACGCCATTTTAGCTTCTTCACACTGCAAGAAGGAGTCGATAATGAAACTGCCGGTTGAGACTACTTCACCTCGAGGTCAAAGTTCACGCCGCGATGACCTTTATAGGATACACAATGGACCACACAAACTCACCCGCGCGCATCACATACACTGTGCAATGACATCACAGTGAACTGCACGATCGGTGGATGTTTTACATGTAAGGAATTCCGGGAATTGGACTTCTCCGTTCCTGATTGGTCAATTCTTTCGTTTTTCAGATCAATTCACTTGATCACGTGATCCAGAACATGCACACGTTTGACTGCGATCTTCTTTCCATACCGTATCAATTCGCTAAGGCGGCGGTATCATGTAAGGAATCTGTATGATGAGTTATGATTTTGGCGGGCACGATGCTGATTGGTCAAATGTTTTGGCGGGCTTAATGCTGATTGGTGAAATGTTTTTGGCGGGCTTGATGCTGATTGGTCAAATGTTTTTGGCGGGCTTGATTGGTTGACACATATCTTATCATTTCAATCCGCCTCCCTCTCTGACTCGTATAAATACGAATGATTGTCCTGCAGTTGAGTCATTCATTCATCGAGTACAGTGCTGACGAGTTGTCCTGAATTCACTTCCTAGAAGATGGCTTCCCTATGCGAGCGAAGGATGAGGAAGAATTCCGCTCTTCCTGCTGACCCTCCTCGAGTTGTGCTCTCTTCGAAGCCAGTACCGGCTAAGCGTCGCTATGCATCACCTGCTCCTACCAAGCTCCACAAAGAGATTGTGGTGGATGGGTTTCAGGAGGACATGCAGCTGTCCTACAAGTTATCGGGTAAATCCTTCTACAAGCCTGGATATAAGATGTACTTCCCTTCGGGAGCTCTGCCAGCCTGTGGTAGTACGGCAACAGCTCGCAAAGATGCTCAAGGACAAGTTTACATTGAACTGAACGAGTCCACTGAGTTCATCATTACGAACTTGATCAAGACTTGTCCATCGCTCCGTGACACTCTTCGAAGCGGACGTGTGGAGAAGATCAAAACCAACTTCTATACATCACGTTCGTCCGACGGTCAATGTCGGGTGTACATCAACGGTGAAAACAAGCTAGTCCCGACCAGCTCGTTTGAACTGGATGTGGAACAAGATGTATTCATCTACCCCGGGGCAGTCTCCCTCGACACTGACGAGCAAGTGATGAAGGTACGTCTTGCTGTTGCTCCAATCATCTGCATCAACGTGGAACCCAGATGTTTTCATCGTGCTCTGGACGCACACATGACACTTTCTATCACGGAACTGAAACAGCTGACTGAGAGCTTCACATCATTATGCAGTGTAGTCGTCCAACAAGACGATCAGCTGGTAGAGACCTTCCAATAAGTCTTTAATGAACTGCCTTCTTTATCACACAGCTGATCATTCATTCTTATTCTATCCTATACTACTTTCTACGGCAATACCTCATGATACTCATTAAAAAAAAAAAAAAAAAAAATTCTAAAGAACAAGTATGGGTGGCGTTGTGTCGAGTAGTACGTCCACGGAAGAGTGCTGCCTTGCCTCTTCGGACTCTAGTATTCCCACTGCTACTAGTGGAGAATGGGTTGCAGGATGTGAAAAGAATGGAATTGGGAAAGATGAACCAGGGTGATCTCATGTGAACACCATCAAGGAATGCGTCATTCATGACAAGATTAATCATATCAAGGTTCCATCATCTGTTTTTGGCGGGCTTGATGGTGATTGGTTGACAACTTTGCATTTTCAACCCAACCCATTCTGACTTGTATAAATACGCATGCTTGGCATGCAGTCGAGTCATTCCTTAACCCGATACAGTACTGATCAGTTGCCTCGTGTCTTCACAAACTAGGAAATGAATTCCCTTTACGAGAGATGGTTTCACGTTGCAAAGAGTCTTAACGGAGCGGTTGATAACAAGACTCATGAATGTCAGGTGTGTCATCTGCTAGTACGAGTTGCTGACCATCTTCTTGCATCATACGCAAAGGATGAAGGTGAATGTTCGGAGACTCGTCATGCCTTTGCCATTGACCATTTGTTCGTTCGTGATTCGACATTATTTCACGCGTGGACATCTGCTAAATATATCACTATGAAGAGACCTGACATTCTCAGGTATGCTGCGAGCTTTACTGTTGGTGATGGTGATCGTGAACAAGCTGAACGACTTGAAAGTTGCATATGCGGCATCATGGAAGGTTTATGGAGTCATGCATCAAACGATGTCGTTGCCCTGGAGATGACCTTGGCATATTCAGTCACTCTGTTGGACATGCTGGCACGGAAAGGCGATCGTGCGAAGGTGTTGTTAGCACGAGATTTCCTCATGAAACACATTCATGATCAATCGAGAAGGAGGATGAACGTTCGACTCATCAACACGATGACTGTGGCCCTTGTTTGTTGTGCATTGCCTGTTGTTTACCTGTTCTTATGAGCATCATAAAGATTTATTTGAGAAAGAAAATATTTCCTATCATAATTAGTACAGTGTGTGTGTGTGTGTGTGTGTGAAGATGGCGTACTGGGCTACGCATTTCCATAGGAGTGATGGTGATGAGGCCTCCCTCAAACACATGCAAAGCATGCGGAATGACATTATCGAGATGCAATCGGTTGTGGGGAACGATGACACCGAAAACACCTTGGTTCATGATGTGGAGAAACTGAAAGAGGAGAAAGCCGATGAGAGTAAAGTGGAAGATGTGGAAAGCAGATCTACGCGCTACACAGATCAAGCCATAGCAGCTGATGAGCTGCACGTGAAAACAGATGGATCCGTGTCCATGGATGCTAACCTCGACATGAACGAGCATTCCATCTGTAATTTGGCGTACGATGATAGTTCTTTGACATGTGCTGTCCCTGCCGGTTGGGTCAAGAATGAAATCCGTCAATCCTCATCGAGATTGCAACACGACATCGACGCTGTGCGCAAGATGAAAGGACCTCGTGGTGATCGGGGATTGGGATGGCTTAGTGGAGGTGGCATGCCACTGAACTCGGTAGGGAGAAATGGTGACTTCTACCTCGATGCAACCACGCTGATCGTGTACAAGAAATTCAGCTCGAAATGGATGGCTTTCGGTCGGCTTCATGGATCAAGAGGTGAAGCTGGTCCACATGGAGAACGCGGATTGATCGGTCCTGAAGGCGAGACTGGACCTAGAGGAGCTGATGGGCAAGGGGGTGAACGCGGTCAAAAAGGTGATCAAGGAATACCTGGTCCAGAAGGTCCCAGAGGTGAAGTTGGACCACGTGGAGAACGTGGATTGGTCGGTCCTGAAGGCGAGATTGGGCCTAGAGGAGAAGATGGACAAGACGGCCCACAAGGTGAACGTGGTGTGCAAGGTGATCAAGGAACCACAGGTCCCGTGGGTCCCCAAGGAACCATCGGTGCAACCGGTCCTCCAGGAAACAGAGGTCCTGTGGGCCCCCAAGGAATCGTCGGCCCCATAGGTCCTCCAGGAACCAGAGGCCCCATGGGTCCGCAATCAAATCAGAACCTATCCGATCCGTTTCATCTACTACCTCACATTCGGAGAAACGCCTACCTCTACATATACTCTCATCCTAGCAGATTTGAATCCGTCACCAGGGTGAGCAGAAACAGATACAGAGGGATAAATCTCGTTGACATGAAGGACAAGAGAATCAACGTGAACAACATAGACATGTTCCGAGACGATCACTTCTACCTCAACATTACACATCACCAGCAAGTTTCCATTAGAGAACGATTCGTCAATCTGTTTCACGACAACATGTCTTTTGCAATGTTCCAAGTAATTCAAGTGGACGCACCTGACCCTAGAAACATGGCATTGAAGGCATTCGACATCGATACTGTCGGAAATTTCAGCTTGGATAGTTTGTACGTGTTGTTCACTGCCACCCACATAAGTGGCAACTACTTCACGGGTTCCGGCCATTCATCATTCAACCTACCCGTTTCGTCTTTAGTCAGCCAATTATCGGCGGCTTTGGATAAGCCTGTGTCGAGCATGACGGATCTCTTGGGTACAAAGTGTGTCATAAGTTACGCTCGGAATTCAGAAGGCCTATTCACTCTATACGTAAACTCCTTTTTGATACATTCCAACTTAGCCACTGACCCATTTTCCAGGACCAATGGAATCGAAGATTGCAATTATAGCATTGGTGGTACTCAATTCTTCAACGGCACTTCATCAAAGTTGTTCTGTCATTTGCACTTTGCAGAGAGTTTATCTTCTCATACAATCCAGCGCATACACACAGAACTCATGACACACTACAATATCTAGCACACATATATAGCACACATGCTACACTACATTCTTGAGATGAAAAATAAAACCTATCTATAGTAATCATCATCACATCACCAGAATGTCTGTGATATTGACAGTGGCGAACAACACGTCGGGAGTGAGCAGGGGATTGCACAAACCGAACTTTACTCTAAATGTGAAGGGCCTCGATACGCGCGATAAAGTCCTGCATGTTGAATCGGCTCAGTTTGAAGTACACTTTGAGAACATAGACGAGGCAACGAACAAACTCTATGTGGTACATGGTGTAGAAGAAGAAGAAGAAGAAGAAGAAGAGGATAGACTTTCCATCAAGACGGGAACATACAGCGATGTAGACGATTTGGCGTCTATTATCAATGCCACTCTGAAACGAGCGGGACACGGAGACATTGTGTTTTCCTACTCTCGTCACACCAGCCGCATAAGTGTCTCGGTACCCAGGAATAAACGGTGCTTGTTGAAGAAGGACTCACCCGGATTGGTGCTGGGTGTGGGCACTATTCTCAAGCCATACACGATCGAGGGATCTCACACGTTCCCGTTCGCTGTGGATCTGACAAAAGGCAGAAGACTTGTCCTGCTCTACACCGACCTCATTGGACCTGCTGTGGAGTACGAAGACAATACTGATTCGAGGGTGCTGAAGACTTTTCTTATTCAAACCCTCAACGGTTTGAATAACTACGTGTTCGGGAAAGAAGACAAACGATTGCTGCTTCCACACGAAAACGTGACTAGCATTTCGTTCTGGTTGAAATTCAACACCGGTGAACACATCACTTCCGGATATCCCGTCTACCTTGATCTTCGGATCACCAACACAACTACTTAGATGGATCTTCCAGATGTTCGTGTCCGTCACGTACGTGACATGGTGGAGGATATAGCAAAACGAAAGAAATTGGAGAGCGAAAAGGTGCGTTGCCGGGAGAAGTACGTAATTTACAACACTGCAATCTTGTCCTTTCTCATACTCATTCAAACCATTCTCAATATCCTTCAAGGGAGTGGTGTCGTATCTGGAGAACATCGCATTCGAATCATCGCCATCAGTAGCACGATCATAGGTGTGATCATGGCATGCATTGGTAAACACGTTCTCGACACCAAACGTCAGCTTGTCAAGTGTATTGAACAACTGCAGCAGATGGAGAGAGCTGAAGACTCGTTCATGTTGGAATTGGGCATTACTCTGGAAGATGGGAAGCTCACTAACGAGGAGCATCAACGATTGATAGCGATGATGAACGACTTTCGCAAGACACTGGATATTGGATCTTTGAAAAAAATTCACCCCTATTATAATGTGACTCGCAAGAATGGCACAGGAGATATACTCACCACAAGCTCCGGAGTCCTTCACGGGACTCCTGACCAACACGAAGATCGTTCAGAAGAACATCCTCGACAGGACGGAGAAGAAACTCTCATTGCTTGAGGGTAGACGCGGAGTACGACTCTTTTCCACAGCAGATCGATCACCACCATCCCTGAACAATGAACTGGACATCTCGTCACCGAATTTCATTGCTCTCGGGGAGAGCTATTTCATCGTGAAAATGCGCTATAGTGTCAAAAACAATCTCGATAATCAACCTGGAGACTACACGCGATGGGTGTGCACCACGTCACCAGCCTTTTCGTGGTTCAAGAACATTCGAGTGGAGATCAACGGAACAGAGGTCACGCAATCGAGTAAAGTTGCCGACATGCAGATGGTTCAGCACATCCTCAGTCTAATGGAAAGCAGCAGCGAACGCCTTCAATACGTGGACTCGGATCTCTACGGTCTACAGAAACTGGATCCGCAAAGAGCATTGAGAGGTGTGGATTTATCGCCCTATCAACTTGGTGTGAAGCGTAAGCATGGCTATGCCTTCGAAACAAACGCTGCAAACGCTAATGCAGCACAAGCACCGGATTTCGTCGATGATTTCACACTCAGGCGTGCACCCACCGTCGAGCTTGTCACCAACGAAGGCTTCTCCAACACGGTTCAGGAAAATGCACTTCGTGCAGCTGTTGGACGGTTTCAGTACAAGCTGAGACCCTTCCTACCATTTTTCAATCAGGACGATGCTTGGTTACCCCCGGGTACACAGGTGAAGCTTCGCTTTGATCTGCCACAATCCGAGCTTTCCAGATACATCATACTTAGCGATCAAGGCGGTGGTGCCAACAGTGCGCTGAGTGTCGGTGATATTGAGATCGATCTACTCCAATTGGACTTTGTGTACACTACCTATCGCATGGAACCCAATCTCACCGATCGTGTACGCCTTCCCAAACAACTCTATTTCCACACGTGGTGCCCTCGCCTCATACAAAAGAGCATTTCAGATGATGCTGGTACACTGGAACTGCTTCACAATGCGGACATTCCACGCAGGATGATCCTGTTCTTCACAGATTTGACTCATGGTACCCAGCCAGCATTGGCTGGAGGTCAAGCATCGCATTCTTCGAACAGACTGGCCATGATTCATGCAAATCTCAGTCAACTTCGTGTCACTGTCAACGACGAGACGCTCTTTGACAACCCGCTCAAGTTCCAGTGGGATGTGAGTCGTAATACTGAAGGGCAATACTTCTACGATTACAACAAATCCTCCTACCTGCGTGGCTATAATCTGGTTCAAGACTTTTTCGGCAAGACGTATGGAACGCAAATCCCCATCACCGCTGCAGATTACTGCAATCACTACTTTATGGTGCCTATCAACTTGAATCTGGATCGGACCACAGACAATCCAAGATCGAGAGGAAATCTGTCCATCGACTATCAATTTAGCGACGTGACAAACGCCCCCGTGAGGAGACCTAGCGAAAATGGTGCCTCGATCAAAGTCAACCTTCTCTGCATGGACAAGTACTTGTACACCATGAGCAAAGATGAAGGTATCAAAGCCGAAGTTGTATGAATTAATTCCGACCTAGTAGTAAAAGGGCATCATGGAAGGTGGTGACCTGGAGACCAGACATCGTGTCTACGGTGGTGATTTGAAAACATCGAGTCGACAACACGGTGGATTCTTCTGGAAAAAGAGCTTCTGGAAAAACCTTATTGGTGCTGGACCCGAGGAGCTGGACAAACAGATGGCGGAACCCATGACAAAACAAGATGACATGCAACGCGGTGGACTTGGACCCCTGGCTGCCATGGCAGGAATGACACTTCTTCCCATGCTTTTGGGGAGAGGAGAGCCCGGAGACATCGTGGAAGCACAAATGAAAACGGCTTACAATCCTGCCATGCACCGAGGCGGTCTAGCCATTCCACCAGGATTAGCCGCCAAGGCCATACCACTCCTGACGAATCTGGCTGCTCCCTTGGCCATGGGTACCATGGCATCACTAGGTGACAACGTAATGGATAAAATATTCGGTAGAGGAGTGAGGAAGGGAAGCTCAACAGGTACCATGAAGCGCACTAAAAGTCGTCGTCGTCACGCTCCGAAGAAAATTCGACAACGTGCACCTCGAAAAACCAAGAAGCCAGCTCGTCAAATTCGCTCCAAAGGCCGCAGTGCACGAGGAATAAAGAAACAAGGAAGGACCTTGTTCAAAAAACTAGGACATCGGGCCCTCGACGAAGCCTCATCGTTCCTGTCTGCACCTCGTAGATCACTGACCCGTCCTGAAACTCCATTTGCTCAAAAAATTCGACAGAACATTAACAGTGCAGAACCGTCTTCTATGAGTTCCGCTCACATCGGTCCATCCTACAACATCTGATCATGGACTTTATCTCGCTCCTTGGACAGGAAATCGGGAGGAAGAAAAAGACTAGTCCCGTAAGGAACGACGATGTTCCGAGCACGGCCACTGCTCGACACAAGCTGCACATTCCTGGTCTTCAGTTCGAGTCTAAGGATTGGTTCACGGAAATCATTCCTGCCCTGAAATCCTGGGGTCAAAACGTATTGTTTCTGGGACAGAGCAACATGGGTAAATCCTACTTTCTCATCAAGCTCCTGAAACGTGTGCAACCTGAGCGTATAGTAGTCATCTCCAACACGCCGGCCGATCAGTATCGTCTCCCAAACCTCAAATCCTTCAAGCATTACAGCACCATGCCCGAGTGCATCGAAGACATGGATCTCCAGCCTAACACCTATGTGATCATTGATGACATTAGAGTGATGGGTTTGAAGCACGGCAGTCAAAGAGAGTGTCTCTACAAGTTCTTCACCATGTACAGTCATCATCATAAGTTGAACGTGTTCTTTCTCTCTCAGAGCTTTGATAACATTAAGGACATGAAGATCAATGCAAACTTTATGTATCTATTTCGCTTCACTGATAAAAGCAATATCAAGCGTTATCTCAATACTCTGTTTGGTGGTCTGTGCACGAAGTCATCCATTATCTTTAGATTGTATGAGAAGTTATTGGCGGTGTGTCGCAGACCTATCCTAACCATTGATTGCTCTTCTAATCAGTACTACACGTATTGCGAAGACACTGCATTAAAGGTGACTTTTGAATAAACCCCTCGTTGATGTGTGTGTGTGTACGATATTAGTCGAAGAGTTAACCGAAAAATTAGCCGAAAAGTTAGCCGAAAAGTTAGCCGAAAAGTTAGCCGAAAAGTTAGCCGAAAAGTTAGCCAAAAAGTTAGCCGAAAAGTTAGCCGAAAAGTTAGCCGAAAAGTTAGCCGAAAAGTTAGCCGCAACATTGAAAAAAATTCCAATCATGAATAAGAATGGAGCATCTTACGGTGAAATTCTCAAATGGGCTACCGAGTAGTATACAAAGAGTGGGACCCAGAAAGGGATCCTTCTCGATACCCAAGCGTAAAAGGTTGCAAACCTTGCAGTTTATGACGAAACATCCTCAACACATCATTAAGAAGAGAGCAAATTCGTGGGAAGTTCTCGGTATACCACCACTCATGCGGCAAAAAGGAGGTAATAACTACAATGCATACTTGAAAAGCGTTAAGAAAGTTCTTTCCCAAGTACCAGATCACAGTTTGAGCACCTCCACCCTGTTGGAACTGCAAGCCGATCCGCGAGTAAAGCGTCTATATGACACCCACTTCAAAAACAATCCCGATCACATCAGTTACCCGTCTGTGAGAAATGTGATTGCATCCAACATACTCAACTATGATTCCACTACCGATCAAGTTCGCGATTCCGTTTCAGATGTCAGGAAGAAGAGAAAGGCACCTTTAACATCGGTGCCTTTCAATCTACTACAAGATCATGAATTTGACCGATGGATCCTGCAAATCCTGGACAGTTTCCTCCGGCATACAAATATACCGGTGACCTTTTTGAAGAGCAACTATTTCACAAGCCGATCACAACTGCTGCAACTCTACGATGAAGATCGCCTGAGGTTCAGGAGTCGGGTGGAAGCGGCTGCGGATGCCCTGAAGACGCAGACGATGAACGACTACACTACTCTGGTCAACGAGACGAATCGCATCTACATGTCCAGGTACCCGTTTGCATCCATAGCAGGTGCCATGGGAATCAACAAACACGTCGATGGGTTCCTTCGATCAGAACGAAAGATTCAGGAACTAACCACCCTTGTGATAGCTATACCGGGATCACAGCTTAAGTTTCAAGATCTCAACGATATGACTTCCACCTATGGTAGAACAACAGAAGCAAAATTGATCCATCCCGAGCATTTCATGATCAGAGCACAAAAGGTGATGGTGGACGATGCATCATTCATTCAACAGGTGCTGAAGGACAAAAGCAGGATCACTCGTATCATCAAGGATATCCTGAGCGGACGCTCCATGTGATCACGTGCCAAATATTTTCAGGCTATGATCAAGAATGGACTATCCTCTCAGCAGTGCCGATATCAAAGGAAGATTGAATGGTGTCGGAGGGTTCGTGGGCTGCACGAGTTACGACCTCTTGCCACCCTTGAACAATGGAGACTTTTGTATCGTCAACACCGACAACGTTCTACCGGTGTACGATGCAACGGAAGGCGGACATCATTGGTTGACGGTGTGTCGCGAGCAAAACGTGATCCTGGTTTTCGACAGTTTCGGACGCAGTC